GCACAGTGGAGCCCTGCTAAAAGCAATTATCCCAGGTCCAGGCGAGTGCCACCCAGGATTACATGGTGTGCCTGTGTTGGGCTCCCTTGCGCACAGGGCGAAGAAATCTTAGAGGTTTGTGGTATTTGGCAGCAGGGTTTGTGGTAAAAAAGGAGCCACCGGGGCTCCAGTTTACCTCAAGCTCTATAAACATAGGTGTTTATAGCATTTAAATCACTTGAAACGATAGCTGATTATCCAAGCACAGTATGGGTAACAAGACAGAGCACAAAGTTTTCCTGGGAGGCGTTTGCATATGTTTTCCATTAGCAGTCAGACAGTGGCCAGGGCAGAGGAAAAGGCATGAGAACAGCCTTTCACCATGACCTCACGAAGAGATTTCCCAGCTCTGAGCTCAGCCCTGTTGCATGACTGAACAAGTGGAAGAAAGCGCAACTTGTTCCAGGCTACTTGTTGCTTTATTGGTGTCTTATTTTTATTTTATAGCAAACTGTCTGAATAAGGGCTCTTGGGGTCTAAAAGCCCCAGATGGAAAGATAGGCACATATTTATGGTCTGTGGGCAGAAAGACAACAGCCTCAGGATGTGTTGTAGCTGCCGTAAGGATGCTGCATATGTGGCCTGTAAGGCCCATGCACTCCGGGTGCATCCAGCTTGTGTTGTGTCGGTGTCAGGGTTAATGCATGGTGGAGGTGCGGGGTCTGTCTGCAGAGTCAGCTGGCATGTGTGTGCGTGTCTGTCTGTTCAGCATCTGGAGGAGACACTACACCAGTCTCTGGCTTCTTTTTTTTTTTTTCTTTTTCTCCGCCTCGTCAAAGCTTCCAAACAGGAAAAAGAACACAGGCAGGGGAGGAACCCCCACAAAGTGAGTGAAGAATAGAGGTGGAAAGCTTGGGTGCAGTTCTGTGACCCTTCTTTACACAAGTCCTGATTCCTGCTCAAACTCAGTGTCATGCCTGGGTGAGGAAGGAGCTTGGATGGGGCATCCTAGCCTGCCATCTCTTGCTGCTTCTGCGAAGGCTGGGGTTTCCTGAGGTGAAGCCTTTGACAGGAGTGGTTCGAGGCATTCCCCATTGCTCACCTAATGGTGCTGGCAAAGCAGAGGCAGCCCTGCAATGCTGTGTGGGAGAGAAAATGAGTTGCAGGGGAGGGTGAGAGCACCTTAAACCCGTGTTGGCACCGGAGACTTCACCTCACGAAACCACAGGGTTCCTCATGCACATATGTGCTGTGGTTGATGACAGGAGCCAGTTAGCCAGTGCTGAAAGGGATCGAAAAGGAGGGACCGGGGGCTCCGCTCCTCCCGGCTGCTTGGGCAGGCAGCGCCTTGCTCCGGTTAGCGCGGCTGTCAGGTTGTGAGCAATCCCTCGGGTTGTGGGATCAGAGGCTACCACTAGCTGAAAACCACGAGGGCATCTGTTAACTCTTAAAAACAGAGACTTGTAGAGTTAAGACAAATGAGGGCCTTACAAACTGTGGCTATTCCAGAAGAAATTACAGGGTTCAAAACATATGTATAGCGCTAGTCAAGTGTTTTCTGTGTATTTAGACTGTAGAGGTATGAAAAGGAAGGCTTTAGCCCGGCCAAACTGAATTCACTGTATGGAGAATTCACGTAAAGTCAGCAGCTTTACACCCCAAAGCTGTGCATCTGTAATCATTGAGCATGTACATAGGAAGCTGTCCAGGCAGATGTATCACTTACTCTCCTTCCTACACTGTCTGCCTTTTGGTTCTGACATTACTAAAAGCTTCAGTAAGAAACAGTTTTTATCGTGTCAGATGTTACAAGTTGTCTGTGCCAGTTTCCAAGTCAGAGTGTGGGTTTGCATGGCTGGTGCCTTTCCAAGAGCTGGAAGGAGGAATATACCAGGGCTGGAAATTCCTGGGGAATGCGAGAAGCTGTAAAACCTCCCACTGTGACAGTGTGACAGACTGACGGCCTTGTCCGACTTCTCTTGCTGAAGCATAAAAAGGCTGTGTGGAGCTGCAGATGCTTTCCCTGATTACTAATGAGAGAAAATCCTAACTGCTTGGCTGGTTTTCCTCACAGGATGAATGCTCAGTGTTGTTGGTGAGGTGTTTTTTTTCCTTTTTTTTCTCCTTCTCCCCCTACCCCCTATCCCCCCCCGTCTTGAATATCTTCATTTGTTTGAAAGTATCCCTCTTCCTGGTAAAATACTAGTTTCATGTTGTGGTTTAGGTCGAATTGGCTACTGGGGACGTGGGGCACCACAGATGGGACCGACAGGTGCTCCCCCCTACCCCTCTTCAAAGAGAGAGGCAGAGGAGGGAAAAAGAGACTTATGAGTTTAGAAGGAACTAAACTACTTTAATGAAATATTAATAATAAAATAAAAATAAAATAATGACATATATACAAAACCGTATCAAGCTCCCAGGATGACAATCACATCATCACATCACTGGCCGGCACTGGGGAAGTCCCAGGCTGGATTCAGTGATGGACAGGAACTGGATTCTGCATCTGGATTCAGGATCGGGATCAAAGGCAGACGAACAGGCAGAGTCCCCTCAGATGTCGGCCATTGAAGAAAGCGGGCTGACCCTTTGACACCTCAGCTTTTATACTGAGCATGAGGCAGATGGGATGGAATGCCCTCTTGGGTCAGTTTTAGGTCACCTGTCCTGTCCGCTCCTCCCCGCAGGTGGGACCCCTCTATGCATTTCCACTTCCGACCCTCCAACGGGGCAACTAACAAAGTTATCTGCCCTTGGGTGTTACAGCAATAAGTCTAAGCAAGAGCCTCTCTGCATACCATGGCTGGGCATCAGCTATAAACATAGGTCTTATCACTCTGAGAGAGTGAACAGTGTCTGCACAATAAGCTGTTAATTTCAGTAGTTAGAAGAGGCCTAGCTAAGAAGCAAAGTTACTGAACAAGATTGGTCCTGTTTTACCTCAAACCAGGACATTGCAACAGTAAATGCTTATTTGGGAATGGGTCTGAGGCCGAGGGCAGGTTTGAGAGAGAGCAGTGGAATGCGGAATCCCAGATGGGTGGGTGGTGAGGCGTTTGCCTGCGAGGTGGGAGCCGCAGTCGGGCAGTCTCTGCTCCGACGGTGTCAGTAGTCATGCAGGGTGGAGCAAGACCAGGAGGAGAAGCGGGGGCAGCCCACAGTGGCCATCACTGGGATGGCTAGCTCTGTTTTCTCTGGTGTGGGCCACGGCAGGGCGACAGCGTGTTTCTAACATCATAGGTGGGTGTCTGAGCCACGGGGCCGTTGGCAGCTTCTTTTTAGGGAAGATGAAAACGCTTTTTCTGAAAGGTTTGAACTTCGTTCAGATGTGGAATGGGAACATATTTGTGGAGGGGTGAAGCAGACTCACCCAGGCCTGCTCACACCCAGTAGTTAGGAAGATGAAGGGTGCTGGCCTGCAACTCAGGCCCGTAACATCAAGGACAACCCAACTAATACGCAGTATCTGTGGACCCATGCAGATGAGTTAATGCACATTTACAGCCTTTCAGAGGATTTCCATGCAAAGCTACCTGACTGTAGCGTACACCAGTCAGAGCAGGCTACATGGCTGCCTTCCTCATACCCCTGCTGGTGTGCTCTGCTCCGCTGTCAGAAGAGGGAGTGAGCTGTACCGAGGTGAGGTGGTAGCGATGCTGGCAAAACCAGGCAAAATGAGGGACTGTCGAGCAATAGAAAGGCTTATGCAACCAGGCTACTTTTGTGGGACAACCGTGAAGTAAACCTGGTTGCTCCGGAGACAATCTCTGTTTTATTTAGAGCTGTAATTGGAGGAGATCCTCCAGCTTCAAAGTCACACTTTTGTCTGGAAAGTTTCTATGGGATCATATGTCATTGGTGACAAACAACAAGGACTGATGCAGACTGAAATGTTTTGTGGATGTTGTCTCCACACAGTGCATATTTGATGTGCTTTCTGTCTATTTGTCTTTTGGATAGGGAGACAGAGATGCACTTAGTTTAACACAATTTTAGTATGTTAAGTTTTTTCTCACAAACTGCTTTGCAGATTTTCAGTTTTGATGGTTATGATTTATTGGTTTTTTTCCACTCCAGCATTTTGTTGGTTTGGGGTTTTTTTTTGGTTGGTTGTTAAATTTAATAATCTCTTAGGTGTTTAATTTTCATGTGTGTATCCTGCTCCTTAGAAAAGACGCACAAATGGAGAAGCCAAACAATAATTGGGGTAGAAAAAGTAGGTTGCAAAGATCAGAAATGAAAGGGCTGCTACAGGAATGCGAGATTAGTGGGTTTACTTCTCCTCGTGTTCCCTGTACATGCATATAACCTGTGCTATATTTCCCCGAATCCGCTAGAGGAGGGAGAAGTTACAGACGCCCTGCAGGTTATACATATGAATTGTGGTATTACAGTTGAAGATCCTCATACTAAGCAATTCAAAATTAGAAGCATTGTAATGCATCATTCTGGACACCGGACAGTAAAATTTCCATTTTAATCCCTTCTGCAGCACTGTGATAATTCAGTGATTATTAACAACAAAAAAAAAATCCAAAAAGTTGTTTTGCACTTGAAGAACATGATGCTGAGAAATCATCCTTGGGTCTCTCCCTGGGGCTTATGTTCAGAGAAATGCAAGACTGCCCTCAAAGCCTTTTGTTTAGCTTGTGTTTATTTTTTTCCTCTTATCTGTGGGTTGTGATTCTTGGTTTTCTTGGGTTTTCTTTTTATTGACAGAAAAAAGGGTGAATCATGGTTCTTGGAAGCAGAAAACAGGCTATTTGATTATCACTGCTGGGAATGCTGTGTAGTGAAGTTGTGGGCGAGGGAGTAGGTAGTTCTGCTCATCTTACAACTCCTAAATATGATCATAAACAGCTGAATTTTTGTCAGGCTTGCAACTCTGCTTGTAACTACGCCCACCTCAGGTTGGGGTACATGCTTTATCATCGGTGTGAGCTAAAAGACATTTCTGGGAGGCATGATATTTGAGGTTGTTCCACATCTTCTTGAGCTGCTCCTTCTGGCTGCTTCAGCAACTGTGTGCGCACATGGAAGTGTGCTTTTGTCTATGCTTACGATCTGTTTACTTTCCTTCTAGGGCTCATCACAATAAAAGAAGCCCATGATATAGAAGCCAGACTTAATGAAGTGGAAAAGCTTCTGAAGACTATTATAAACATGCCCTGGAAGGTGAGTAAGCCAAGTTCCACATTTAGCCCAGCTTGACTCCTCCTTGATGGTGACACACACTCTCATGCAGATTAGAAAGTGATGGGCTTTGCCAAACTTTGAAAGAAGCACCAATTTGTTGAGTATCTTGGAGAAGTGCTGAGTGCCAGAACCGTGTAATGACGTCTACAGGCTGTTGCTCGTAATACATCTTTCTGTTGTACTATGAAGGGGTGGAAAGGGAGAAGAGGGACAAGGCAAACTACTGGTAAAAAGGGACGTCTGTTTATTTTTCTCTTTTTAAGTATTCAAGATCTGAAGTCGTCCTCACGTTCTTTGAGAGATCTCCTTTGGACCAAGTTCTGAAAAATGACAATGTCCATAAGATTCAGCCAAGCTTTCAAAGTCCAGTTAAAATATCAGGTAAGAGTTGTTAGCTTCCTACATTTGACACAAGAATTACAAAATGAAAGATACTTTATTTGCTGTTCTCCTTATTCTTTCTCCACCAGTAATTCAAAAGATACTTTATACTATAGAACATACAATTAGCCTTGACATACTAAACAACATGTATTCAGGCAGTAAAGTTGCAAGTGAAATTGAAGGCTGATAAATGCAAAGAAGTGGATGTGAGGAAAATACAGTCCTCACTATTGTCACGTATGATAGCACTGTTACCTCTTAGGAAGGAGATTTTGAGGTTATTGATACAGTTTTGTGAAAATGTTAGCTCAGTGCCAAATGGTGAGCAAAACCTGCAGTGAGAATATTAGATATTATTAGGCAAGGAGGGGAGAACAGAAGAAAGGAGCACCACTCCATCTTGAATACAGTGTGCACAATCCTGGGCTTTCCATCTCAGAAAGGATATAAGAGAATTTAAAAGCATACAAATGAAGAACAAGGATTCAAATCGCTGAACAGCTTTTCTAAGAAAAAGGTTAGATAAAGAAGGACACTTCAACTTTGAGAAGAGATGACAGAGTGGGGATATGATGGAAATCTACAAAGTTGTGAATAGAAGGAGGTCGATTACCCTGTACTTCTCATGAAACAAGAACTATAGGTTATCCAATAATGTTGACAGACAACAGGCTTTAAACAAACAAAAGAAAGGTTATAATATTGTTTTATTTCCATACGGAGCACAGTTAAGGAGTGGAACTCATTGTCATAGGATATGGTGGAACTGAAAGCCTAAATGACTTCAAAAAGGAATTAGACAAGCGAGTGGAGAAAAAGTACATTGTGACCTGTCACAGGTGGAGACATAGGAAGTTTCTAAACCACAGATTGCTGGTGGCTAAAACGGAGAGCAGTATTTCTCTATCCTTGCCTATTCTTTCAACTCTTCCCCTCTGCATCTGCTACTGACCGTTGTTAAAAGGTTTGTGGACTTTTGGTGTGCCTGGTTTTGTATTTCTGTACTGAAATGTTTCATGTGAACCTACTAGCAACTGCTGGTTTTGTGTTCCCAGAACAGTTTATTTCAGAGAGTGAAATAAAAGTGGAATCCTATGTAGTCCTCCAAGGTGTATAAAGTGTTTAGCGTGAAACTGGTATCAGTTTTTTGAGGCACTAACAGTATATTGATTAATGGCCAGTCAGTGTGTCAACATGCTAAAGGTGTAAAGGTGTCTTAAGGATCGATCTTATACACAGAGTAGATTTTTTGTAACTGATCCTGAGCTCTGGTTCTAAGCGAACTAGTCCTCTGTTAAATAGATATTCTTTTAATTAAATGTTAAATGGTTTATGAGACCACTAATGACTCTTTAGAAACCTACTGGGTAATACAGAGCCTCAGTGAGAAGCGTGATCTTGCCAGCCCGTCTGGGCTGGTGCCTTCTTGTAGGGCCCCACGAGCCCAAGCTGCAATGCAGCACAGAGATTGTAAAGAAGAGCCCTCAGGGCTGTAACGCAGAGGGGGGTGACGCATGTCTGGCTTCCTGGGAGCGAGAGATGGGAGCCAACATGTGTGTCTCATGCCCCATCTGTGGCTTAGGGTGGTTTGGATGATGCCTTGAGTTGATGTGGAAACCTTAAGTAAATTTCCTCATGTGTATGTTCCTGACAGTACCTAGAGGGGGCCTACAGGAGAGCTGGGGAAGGACTTTTTACAAGGGCATGTAGTGATAGGATGAGGGGTAATGGGTTTAAACTGTAAGAGGGCAGGTTTAGATTAAACATTAGGAAGAAATTTTTCACTGTGAGGGTGGTGAGGCACTGGAACAGATTGTACAGAGAAACCGTGGATGCCCCATCCCTGGAGGTGTTTAAGGCCAGGATGGATGGGGCTTTGAGCAACCTGGTCTGGTGGGAGGTGTCCCTGCCCATGGCAGGGGGGTTGGAACTTGATGATCTTAAAGATCCCTTCCAACCTAAACCATTCTATGATTCTATGATATTAGTCATCTTCCAAAGGCTGAACGTGGTTACTTGCTTTGCTCCTGAGCGCCAGGATGTGTCCTCAGCACTGAGCCTTGAAAGCATATTCACTGGTTTTGTCTGAAATATGTTGCTACTCTGTGAGACCACAACTGCAAAGTGGGTCCAAACAGCAAAAAGCCCCAAGCCAGACCAATGCTGCAGTTTCTAACCAGTGCAATTCCGAAAACATTTATTCTTGGTATTTGCCTGTTTGAAACAGAACAAGGTATCACTGACAGCAGCCACTCTTTGGAACATTTTTACAGCATATACTTTGGAGATCCTTCATTTCATAATGGGCAGGCCCCATTGCTGCAAATAATTTAAGAACACAAGCAGAAAATTGATGATAATTGATATTTGCCTCTTCTGAATGTTGCACACTGGAAATGGTTTGAGTGTCTGGCAGCGTCGTCAGTAGATGGCAGTAAATGTTAACGTCTAAAACAGTTCACATGGCAATGAAATGCTGTTAGCTCGGGTCACCTCAAGGACACTTGGAAAACATTGTGGCACTCGTGCTACTCATAGTGCAGCTTTCTACATGACTTGCAAACTTAGAAAAGCACGCAAAAATGTTGTGCATTCTCTGAAAAAAAACCAACTGTCCCCCACATGGTCCTGTTCAGACTGGTAGGTGATGGGGAAGAGAGGAAGGGCTGCCCTCTTAGACGAAGGCTGAATTTGAATTTATGGTGGAAATCTTATTCTGCAGTACAATGTTGGTTCAAGACGAGTCATGACTGAAGTGTGATTCTGCAGGCATTCAGTGTTTTTTACCACCCTCAAATGTATTCTGCTAAAGTGAGTTGCAATAAGGTCTTAGGGGTTCTTTGTACATATGTTTTGTGCCTACCATATTGTCTGCCACAGATAATGCAAGGGTGTAACACAGAGTCCTCTTACCTTGAGGCAAATCGTGAATTGTCCCACTTAAGTCAGTGCAGGTTTACACAGAGAAATACATTCATTTTGTGGCGGCCCTAGCTTCATCTAAGATTGTGTGACTGGAAAAAATCCTCCTGACTGCTGCCCAGGGAGGTGGTTGAGTCACCAACCCTGGATGTGTTTAAGAGATGTTTAGATGTGGTGTTGGGGGGAATGGTGTAGGGGAGAACTCTGTTGAGTAGGGTAGATGGTTGGACTCGATGATCCTAAGGGTCTCTTCCAACCTAGACAATTCTATGATTCTATGATTCCATGATTAACTTCTCATCAAATACTATTTTTGAATTATAAACTCTTTCTATGGTAATAAGTCAGTGGACTTAGGTGTAATTTTAGCTATTCCAGACTGGAGACTTCTTACACAGTAAATAAACAAATAAACAGAGTTGAAGGCAGCGTAGAAGATGATATTGTTTTATATGACTTAAAGATGGTGGTTGAATTAACTTGGAAGGTAACTTTTTATTTCATTTTTCCTGTCCTTTTGATTTTTGCTTAACTGGCTTAAGCCTGAGACTATCTAGGAAAAACACAATTATGTTTTGGTAGTGGTAGGTTGCAATAGAGGGATGGGCTGCCATTCTGCTAAGGGTGACAAAAATTTTGCCACTGGCAATAATGGGACTGAAACTGGGCCTTGCTTCAAACGGTCCATATCATGAATTGATTAGGTGAATAAAATTACTTAAGCATGGGCGGTTTGCAGATGTAAGCAGACGTGAAATCAACTCTTTGTTCCTGCTTTCATGTACAGATTTTCAATGTCACGCACACATCCTGGTTCATGACTATGCTAATTCCGTATGATATGCAGTTGTTTTCCAGCTTTTTTTTATTTATTTTCATCTTCTTTTTCTTTCTTCTCTCAACAGAAATCATGCGATCAAATGGATTTTGTTTAGCCAACACTGAAACAATAGTCATTGACCACAGTATACCCAACGGAAAAGAGAAGCACCTGGACGTAGATTCAGCAGAACACTTGTAAGTGTGATTTGTGCAGGATCAATGTTGTCACCCTCAGATAAAATGTAGCTTTTTTTTTCCCCTTAGCAAAAAGTTATCCTCTGTGTAGGAGCAAGACTGGTACAGTTTTCATTTGGACTGTTTTTTTCTTTCTGTCATGACTGTGATGAGGGCTGGTTTGAACGCAAATCTGGAAACCCAAGCCTACTTACAAATGGAATATCCTGCTATAAACAGTATTCTTTATTTGGGAAGCAAAACACCATCCTCAGAGGAGGGGAACGCACTCCTGAATGTAGTCAAAGGAAGCTGAGCAGCTGCTCAGGTGCTGCGGTGTGCTGCGACTTGGTGAAGCACGTGTGTTTCATTAAGGGAGTGGGAAGTTAGACTAGTCTTATTTGTAAATTTTGCCTCCTAATGCTTGTAGGTATTCTAGGGTCAGAGACCTGTAACCGGGGCGGTTTTCATGTAGGTCTTAAGTCAGTGACTGTATTGACAGATAGGTATTGATGGAAATCCTCTCCTACAGATTTCTGTCATGGCAGGTGATTGATGTTTCAATGAGTGTCAGGTAGTGAAGCATTTAAATATTTTTAATAAGAAACATTGACCTACTTTTTCATTAGAGCAGGCAAAATGGTGGAAACAGAGCACTAAAAGCCTTATGGAAGCTTCATCTTTGAATGCAGCACTCTGTCTTGCTACGTTTGAAATATAGTCATTGCCAGTCTGTAGAAAGGTTTAGAGCTTGATAAGATTTTGTCAGGGGCTGGAGTGTATGTCTGGGTCTAGTGTATTTTCTTGCAGTCTTTCTATTCACTTATCACTTACTGTTTTGAACTTTGACCTTGCTAACAGCATTTAAGCCTATAAGCTTGTATTAATGACTCTGAAGTGACACACTGAAGGTAATTTTGTAAGGCCAATGTCTGGAAATTAAAGCTGTCATAGTCCATAATGGGTCACTTTTCAGTACTGAGAGTGATAAATAATAGGAGCAAATTACCAAAGAAAGCCTTTTTCTGCCTTATTTTGATTATTTTACACAGTTTTGATTTTTTATTTATTTATTTTTTAAAATCTAGCTTTGATTTTAAAAACATGCTGCAGCCCAAGCAAAACTTACTGGTCCGAGATGAGAAACTGTCATCATCTAATTGTTATCCCATTGAAAATATTAATGTGCTAAAAACTGTAGGGTATGCATGGTTTCCCAGAAACTGTGGTGAAAGAAATGAATCACAATAATAGCCTGGGTTTATGCATTTGTATTTTAATGTTCCCGAAGGAAGTTAAATCAGGAGTCAAGAAGCTAATAAATTTCAAGTGTCTGTTTTCCCTGGTGCCCTAAATTTGCCCATCCTGTATTTTACAGCCTAGAGGTAATGGCTAGGAGGGAATGGCACTTCTGTAGCACAGCTGTTTTATAAAAATTGAACTGTTTTTAAATGCTGAAGTTTTCTATACTGTTGTTTTAAATGTAGGTTAGTATCCCAGAAAGGAAGCTTTAAAATCTTTCAAAATCCTGTGCAGTTCCTTTTTGGTCTCTGTAAAATTGGATTTATGGGATTGGTGTTTTCTATTCTTAAATCAGAGTTAATTCCTTGTGGACTTGTATATGGGAACTTTTTCCTTTCAGTAACATTAAACTCTTGACTTTTGGGTTTTGGCTGCCGACGTATTTGAATGAGATTTTGTAAAGCAAACCTGTATTTTTTTGGAGAGAAGCACTTGGAGCTTCAGCAGGTAGCCATCATTCCCTGAGGTCCTGCTGCACTGCTTAGCTGTTGTACCCACAGCGCTACCTACCCAGTGATCCATCAGCTGAAAAGTCTTATACTTGATGCAAATGAAACTATAGCATTTTAGCAAGTTGGAGTTGCTTACTCTGTTGTTCTGAAGTAGTTGTTTTCTACTTCCTTCATTTCTCTCTAATTTTAGCTGGCAGTACACCATACCGCTGCAAAATGTGGTGTGCTCAGCATCCACGTGGCATAATAGCCCTTCTATTTGTGTTTCTTTGAGTATTCTGCAGTCCTTTTGAAAGGAAAGGTGGTAAATCAATGCATTCTAACTTACACTTCGGTTTTGTTACGGAGGGCTGCCAGGGCTGTTTGAGCTTCTGTCTTTTAGGCTGGCAGCAGAGGCTGTGATGTTGGACATGCTGCCTTTTTTGGCAAATTCACTCCAGTACTGGATATGCATTTTCAGGACGGTGCTGCTGTTGTCGCAAGCATCTTGTGGTCCATGGGAGAAAATTTCATGGGTGGCGATGCAAAAGCAGCACAGAGAGGGTAAAGTTAGATACAGAATATTTGCAGGAGAATTAAATCCTACTCTTTGACAGGAAAAGAAAATGCTTCCCTTGTGCTTTTTAGTCTTAGGTGGGAGGAGATCTGTTCAGGTACTGCTTGTACATAAGGTGATGAGCAGAGCTGGGCTGTTGTCTTACACCGTAGAACCATAGAATCATAGAATGGTTTAGGTTGGAAGGGGCCTTGAAGATGATTGAGTTCCAAGACCCCTGCCATGTTTACATAAACTCTTGTGAGTTAATGAGCTTCTATGTACCTTGTTTCCCTCTTCCTGGCCAACGTGAGCACTAACTGTAATGCATTACCAGGAGTTAAAATGAGAACAGTCTTACAGCACGAAGAGTAGGCCCTTGTGAAGGATGGTGTGTCTGTCAAGGTATTTTTGGAAAAGATAGCAAAAGCAGCAGTTTGGGAATTTGGGAGTCTGCATGTCCATGGTAGTTTGCTGACTTAGTGTCAACTTTATTTGGGGAAAAAGACCTGTTGGTAACAGCACAAAAGGATTTTGACTGCTGGGTGTCCTACACAGCTGCTAGCTGTAGTAAACAGTTCTAGTTTATTGGGTTTGGGTTTGTGTGAGTGCTCCAGAGCAGTGCTTTTTACAGACTTCTGTGCCCACACTTCCCTTCTGGCAGCAAGGAAAGCTCTCTGCCTAACCGCAGCACATGAATGCCACTGTTTTGTACCTCACATGGTGCTTGTAGTACCTTATCAGTGAGGCTGAAGAACCAAAAAGTCAGTGGGGCCTTCCAGCTATAATAGTCTAGTTTTATACAGTTGACACGAGAAGGAGAGCAGAGTCTGAATAGCCTTCTTGACTCCTCTTCTGCTTTCTTGGTTCTGTCTGCCCCACTGGTATTTCATAATCTGTTGTTTCTGGATCACTAGCGGTCTGTAAGACAGCACAACGTGATCTGTGAAGTGTTTGCAAGACACCAAGTGAACTCCCTTCTGTGCGTGTTCCCACACGTGCAGTCAAGCAAACAGCCTGGAGGGAGCAGAGGAATGAGGGTAATAAACATTCAAAGTTCAGTCTCATTTCAATATAGTTGTAAGTAAAGAGCAGAGCAACAGCGCTACAGGAGAAAATCCGTGAGTTTCTGCTCACAAAACATTGTGGTCCTCAGAGTTAAAGAAGAGGTGAGAAGGACCAGGTAGGAGTGTGAAGAAGACAGAGCTGTGTACATACATTGCAGGATGTATAGACTATGCCATCCAATAACCTGTGATGCTTCTAAAGAAAGTTTTGGGGAGAGATGGGGGTGGGAGATCTATCTCTTCGTTTATCCTACCGTTCTTCAGGTCCTCTGAAATACCTCAGTCTTAGCGCTCTCTAGGGTGAAGTTAGAGGGATGTCTGCAGTTGCCTCACTTAACTAAGGGAGTCTGACTAGTTCACCTGTAAGTGAGATGTAGTTTGAAACCAAATTATTTTAAAGCTTCATTTGTTTATCTGCTGTTCAGAGAGCTGAAGTATGCTAGCCCGAAAAGGTGTTAGAGACATGTCCTATAGTCAGAGCTAGGTTAGTTCTTTTTCCATCTTGTGCAATTTTTCAGTTTCTGATGCATTTTTTTTTCCTCATTGTATCAGAATGGATGCAAGTTCTTTGAAAATATTAAAGAGGGAGTGTGAGAAAAAGAAACTTGACAGTTCTTCAAGTCCCTTGCTTGAACAGAGATGAGATTTAATCCTTGGCCTGCAGTGACTGCCTTTAACTGCTAGGCTATCTGGGAAGAAGTAAAATGTTTTCTTACTGCAGAAGTTCAAGCCTCCCTGGAACAGGAACACGTGTGACTGAGGAAAGTGTAGATTTTAACAAGCTGATGCCTTCTGGTTGAGAGTAGGTGTGAGACAGTGGGTAATCCTTGCAAAAGTTCAGGTTATAACACAGGAGTTAGGAAGTGGGAAGGAAAATACCAAAGCATGTGAAATTAAATTCGGGAATCTCTTTATATTCGGATGTTTTCTGCTTATCAAAACCTAAATGTCGTGCCATGGGGAGGACAGCAAGGCTCTGGAGGAAGAACACTGCAGTCATTGTTTCCTATTTGTGTTAGACATTTGGCCTCATACAAAAGGCAAACCCAGAAAAGGTACCTGTGAAGTGAAAGGGTGAGAGTCCAAGTTCAGACGGGAAACAAAGGCAGTTTCCTTTCCATTCTTGTGTGGGAACTGGGGCATTTTGTGTTGCTGCCACATGCTGTGAAAACAAAATGGAAGGATGTGGACCTCAGCTGTATGATTCACTCTTCCAGAGCTCACTTGCTGCTTCCTTCCTTCCTCACTAGTAGCTTTGAAAATCAGGGAGGACAGAACGCTTTGCTTGCATGCACCATGGTTCTCATTGGCCTATAGTTTATTCATATATGCATGGGTGTGAGAAGGAAGAGATGTGCATGGGATCAGCTCTGAGTACTTTCTGTCAAGATTTTCCCAGGCCACAGTAAAAGCTCTTCTAGACTCATAAAAATCTGATTGTAGAGGTATGTCCCAGGAGATCATTCATTTGTTAGTAGGAGGGGAGCCCTGGGGCCTGAAAACAAATTAATAATGCTTTTGATTCGGCTCATCTGAAATGCAATGTAGTAACCAGGTGTCATGAGATATGAAGTTCAGGTATAATGACAAATGCCATGAAGAGTCAGTGCCATATTAGAGAGGAGTCATAAAAGACCCTTTTACTGAAGACTGCTGTCTAAAGAGATGAGAACTCGCTCTACTAGTATGCTGTGCAGCTGTGTTTTGGCACAGTTTTGAAAGGGAATAGCCATCCTGTTTTACTGAAAGCAAACTCTTCAGTCCATTCATTTCCATAGGTTATAAAGAAACAGGTTTTCTGTTTATTTAAGGACATGGAAAGTAATGGTTTCCATTTACTCCCCAGCTCTCTCTAGGAAGTGTTGAATCTTGGTTTATGAAAGTGACAGTAGATGCCGTTGCTGGTGTCTCCAGTAGGTTACGCTAGCTTAATGATATGTAGGCTGATGTCAGAGAAACCATAGCTTCATGATTCACAGTTGATCTGCATGGACCTTCCTTGACAACTTCTAGTATGAATTCAAATTTCAGGCTACCAAGAGAGGAGTGAGGTACTGAAGTTTTAGAAAAAGAGTTTGAAAGACAAAGATGTAAAGCTGAAGCTGTAAACCAGCATTAGAGATACTTCTACTGCAACACTGCTCTGGTGTGAAGCAAGTCCACGTGTTACATTTACTCAGAAATTTAACTTGCAGTACCAGCAGAAGCATTCTTGCCTGCAGTCCTTTTTCCAAGTAGTCCTCTCACAAATGCCTTTTCTTAAAATTTCCAGGGGTCAGTCTTCAGATAGCCTAGCCTTCTCCCTCTCCCTCAGTACTTTTCTTCCGATTCCTTTGGCTTGGTTTTTCTAAATGAACATGAATGACTTAATGCCTTTTGGTGAATTTATTTATTTATTTATTTATCCTTAGGTTTGAAAGCGTTAGCGACTTTACCTCAGAGCTAGAAGACAGTGATGATCCGACAGCTTATGTCACCAATTTGACATACTACCACCTGGTTCCTTTTGAGACTGATATTCTGGACTGAGGCTGCCCGGTGACACAGTCAGCCAGCATCCAGCCGACCTCTTCGTCCATAGGCTCTGCTATCTCCGGCGTTGCATCTCTGTGCATAAGGCTGTGCGGGCAAGACCAACAGCAGAGAAGTTGCAGCGAGTCCGCCACAAAGCTGGTTTTGTAGTTGGGCCCTCCGTTCTGTGTTATGGAGACATCTTGTAAGGAGGTAACTGCTTCACTGCTGACAACAAACTCGTTTTCTGTGAAAGCAAGGCAGCAGAGGCCTCTTGGGGCTCGAGGAAATCTCTGCTATGCCTGTGGGAGCTGCCACTCTGACGCAGCCATCGGAAACTTGTAGTATGCTGTCACCCGTGCTCCTTGGCTTGCAGTGCAAGTTGAGGCTTCCTCTTTTAGGATACCACCAGAAACTTCCCCAGATGGCGTGACCACACTTTTTATGCTATGTAAGCGAGAAAGCGAGCAAACCAGCTGAATTTTGTCAGTTCCCTCTGTGATTGCTTAATAGAGGGCTCGCGGGTCACATTTTGCTCAGCTACCAGATGACTGGTGCCTTACACGAGATGTGAGAAATACCATTGAGTGCCTCCAGGAAACAGGACACATGACCTGACCGCTTTACTTCTTTTAATCATCGTTTTTTATATAATCACTGACGAGGTGACTACTCTTTTCTGGAATAGTAAAGCAGACAGCAGCTGGCATTGCAATGGACTGTGTGCGTGATGTTTGGGTACCCATGTGATTTCAGAGATCTGGAAAGCTGATGGGAAAGCTGAGCTGCCCCCTGCTAAGAACAGTCAAGGCTACGACAGGCACTTGGATACAAATTTTTTCACATGGAACAGAAAATGTGAATGGTGCTCACAGTTGTTTACATCCAAGAGAGAATTCCCTATGCATCTTTCTCCCCAGAGGATGGGGAGGAAGGCAATGAGATTTACATCATGACTGGGCTGAAAAAGAATGATAAGCTACAGTGTGTCTAGAGTGGTAGGAAAAACCCTCTTTCCCCTGCCAGCCTGGCTCAAGGAGTCTGTCTAGCTTTCTGAGATATGCCTGCGGGGCCGGGTGCAGGCCTCGTTGTCATGTCATGCCATGGATTTCAGTGGAGGTAGGACAGCGAGAGCAAGAGCGGGATCGGACCCTGCAGCCTCTTGACTACTGAGTAGTGCAACGTTAAAATCTCCTCGGGGTCTCTCTCTTGCAGAGCGCTCCGGAATCCCGGCTCTCACTGCGAGCGCTCAACGCTCACCATCGTGACCTTTCGTTGAGCTTCTTGCGATCTGTTTGCAAACATGAATTTGAAGGGATTGAAATGGGAAGGAATGCATTTTGGACTTGTTTCTTGGTAAAGGGGCTTGCTTGGTCCTGAAGAAGTTGATACAACTCCCTTCTGCGGACTTTTCATTTCTATCTATAGAATAACAGTCAAACAGAATTTGCTAATGTAAATAATAAATTATTGAGAATCCTAATTCTTTTACACAGTATGTTTTTAAAATATATTTTAATGAAATAAAATATAACTCACCTTCAGTACACTTTCTGCAGCTTAAAGCAGCGGCTTCCTTTTTTTTTTTTTCCTTTGAAGACACTTTCCCAACCATGCCAAGTCTTCTTTCTTTCTCTAGTAGTTTTGGAAACATGCTGACTTTTGGCAATTCTTTCTGTACTCTGTGCATTGCCCATACTGTAGATATGGTGTATACCCGTGTGAAACCTCTCTGCCTAACTGTTGATATTGCATCTAGGTGTATGTGGTTTAATACCACTAAGTTTAGTGGAGGAATTGTGGATTTTCAAGACCATAACTGAAATCAAATCTGGCAGTTATTCTTTTTGAAGATAAAGCAGATTTTTTAGACGTTAAATTTCTGAAATGGAAAGGGATACATTCTTACACAAAAGCTTTCTGAGCAGCCTCCTGAATAAGAATTGGGAAGGTTTTTTTGTTTGGTTATTTGTTTTACTCTCATTATTTTTAACTCTTCTGTCAGTGCTTTCAGTTAACTGTGATGGGGTAGAAATTGTATCTAGTAAACATGTGCTTTGCATCAGGAATTGGAATGTTTTATTTCAGTTCCTGGCCCTGCTGTCAGTCTACCATCTCCCTATTCCTGCTTTTTCCTTGAGTAATATTTTGAAAAGAGCCAAGTGTCATTGGCTTTTGATGCAATATTGTGCCCCGATTCATTTGAATTTTCCTATGATTTTTTAAGGACATGATAACTACTTATCTTTTTTAAAGCACTTTAAAATTTATGGATTAAAAAATAAATAGAGCAGTATTGTTAATTTTTAAAATGTACAACTACTTTCCTCATATGAAAACCAGCTAAGCTGCATGCACAGTGAAGTCTTCAGGGAATGGGGAGTCTACTGCAAAGGAACTAATCTACAAACAGAAGTTGCACCCATTTCACTTGTATTTTTCAAAAGCCATTTTGATCAAGTATTTTCCAGAGATGATGTCATGTAATTTATTTCTCTCAGCTGAAATATGTTTATTTGGTAAATCAAGGGAATGCAAATGACCATGTGTATTACTTTGTCCATAGAGTCAATTAAAAAACCCTTCTTTGGTTAAATCACTGCAACTTTCTCATGTGGATCAGGTCTCCACACCTGGGAGAGGCTCAGAGTATGAATTATGCATATGGTTGATTCATATGTACAGATACCTTACTGTTGATGAAAAAAAAATCTTAGTTTGAACATATGATTAAAAAGGAACACAGAGAATTTTTTTTTTCTTTTTCTTTTTAACCAGCTCTAATTATAGACTAGGAACATCTTGCAAGAAGATATTTTAAACTCATTGTCCAGATATCATTCCATTAGATGTTGTCTTTTGATGTAGCAGAATGCTCAACTTTTCCAACTGTGCTTCAGTTTCCATTCTGTATGGTAGCATGTCGTGGCAGTGTTGTAAAGAGAGCATCGGTTACAACAGCACATGGGTTAATACAGTAATTCTGAACACTTTAGGTGTGAAAGGGATGTTGGATGCAGAGGGTAGGCCTGTAGTGTAGCAGTATAAACATAGGTAGTTACGAAAAATCTGCAGTCAGAAGAGAATGTTTTGCCATCAAAGCAGAAGGCGGCATTTGTGTAAAGCTCATGGTTAAAAATGTGGTTGGTTAAGCCAGTGCTGAAGAGTAAAGATATTCCTCAATCAATATAATGTGGTAAAGGGCTAACAGGTATGAGGTTAAAATGTATGCACGACTACAAATGCATGTGAGTTGTGAATAGTGTACTAAGATGTAGACTTATTACTCACTAAAGATAAAATAGCCCTAAGTTTATGAGTTAGTGATGGGAGGGTGGACCTGGATTTCTTGGAGAATTTTGGGGGGAGCAGAGAGCCTGTATAAGCAGGTCTCACTCTGTTGAGAAAAGAAAGGCTCCAGCTCAAATGTTTATTCTTGTCATGCCCTATCTATTCTCTTCTGGGCCAGTGGTTCTCCAGCCCACATTTTATAATACCCTGAATTACTCTGTGGGGCTGGACTGGGACATAGTTCACCCACAAAGCCAGAGGGCACAAGACTACTGTGGAGCAGGCATGGTACCTTCTGCTGTGTCCCACCAACCCTTCATGCAGGGCTTGGCACACTGTTACTGGCTTCCCTGGTAACATCCTCACCGTTACACGTGGGTGAGGGGAGACCTGGGTCTGTGGTAGCTGCCTCAGCTGAACCATGAAGTGCTCAGAAGCCAATAAAAGATGGTAAAGCGGAACACCAAGCATTCAGTCTGGTGGGTCAAATGTCTTTCTTCTTTTGGAGGACTCTCTTCAGCCTTGCAGATGTCTGTTGGGGGGCAGGAGGGTTGCATGCATTTTTTCCTTCAAAAGAGCCCTTTTAGGGAATTTTTAAGCTAGAGGATTTGTGTCATAACAGGCACTCACAAAAGGAAATTTATTTTTCAACAAAGCAAATGCCTAAACAGCTATCTTAGCTACTTCCTCTTCTTTCACCTTGGTGACTGCAAATAAAACATTCCTATCTTCTTGCAGCTGCTTCTCTGTTGGGGGGATAAAAAAATAAAGGTCTGGAGAAATGGATTCATGCTGAAATCTCTCTGCTTTGGGGATTTGCTTTAATTTTTGTCTGCAGTGGACCATCACTGGGCTGTTGGAACTCCTTTGTAGATCTTGTCTTTTGGAAAGAGCTTGTGTCTGTGGAGATCATGGCTGCCTGGTGGCACCAGAGCCCCAGCTCACTCCGTGGCTGGGGTGGTGGGGGCACAAACCAGTGCCCAGGCAGGGGCAGGGGGCCCTGGAGCACGAGCAGGCTCTTCCCTCCCTTCTTTCATGGTAGCTGGTGGGAAAGTGGTCATGTCCGTCAGCTGGTCCTGCCAGAAAGCAATAAGAGTTTGTACAAGGCTTGTAGCCATGGTGGTGGGTGGTTAATGCACGTTTGTCTGTATGATGACGCTCTGCCCGTTTAAAAGGTTGTATATAAAAAATGTCAGGGTGCCACGAGCCAGGAGCAGGGCACTGGGGACACCGGGACAGCCCCAGACATCGGGCACCTCCCTGGGGACAGGTCAAGGATAGGCAGGGACATGGCCCCACTGCGGGGAGCTGGAGACCGGCCCCGCTATGGTGTCAGTGGGGCAGGGGCTGATGGCCCCTGGGGGGCTGACATGGTGTCCTGGGCTGTGGGCGGGTGGGGGGAGCCCAGGGGCAGGCAGGGACAGCCAGGGCTGGTGATGCCCTTGGGGCCTGGATGCTCAGGTTTTTCATCCTGCATGTTTCACAAGTAGACAGTTTTTCCATCGCAGCAAACGGTTAAACAGGTACCCTGATATTCTGGGGACATGAAATATGGTGCAGAATTCAGTTACTGCTGCATCATTGCATTTAAAAAAGACTACAACAGCCCAGTCTTTCAACATTTAAGAAAAAATGTAGCTGAAATAAAATCCCAGCTCTTAGATTTCTAAACAAGACCTCTCCGCTGTGAACCTCTTGTAGCTGGACAAATCTTCCATGCCCAGATCTGAAGAAAATATCTCCGGGGATGTATCTGTCTCAGTGGTGCGTTTCTTCAGAAAATGTAATTATTTTCATCATTAGTTACCTTCAGGGGATTCCAACAGAAATGAGCGGCACAAGGATTTTATCCCCAAACCCCTCTCCACAATCCAAAGCCACTTCCTACGTAACCTGCCTTGATAAAAAGCTGATCTTTATTCTCTCTGCAACTTTGGCTTCCCCCTTCGGCACGCTGCGTGGGGATGGTGTGTGGCAGGGCTCGCTATTAGCTGCACGAGCAGAACAGAGTTGAGGTGTGCTGGTATCTAGGGAAGGAACAGGAGGTCTGCGTCTCTTGGGAGGAATAGTGATGACAAAATCATTTGGGTTTTGTTTTTCAAGTCATGAAATATGCTGGAGTCATAAAGTTGCCAAATTTTAGGAGCGTTAGGGAAGAGAAAGGAAAGGAAAGGAAGAAACATGATGCTTTGCCTTGACCACTGGTCTTTTTGTTGTTTTTTTATTACAGCAAATACTTT